TTCATATTGTATTTTAAACTGTGTGAGATTAAAAACAGATTCATTCGTAATGCTGTGGGTGTGGCCTGATTCTTATGTATCTGGGTTCTGTGTTCAATAGGACAAATTAACCGTCAGACAAGGACAGCAAGAAAGGTAACTCACGCCTCCTGATTTTACTAACAGAACCGACTCAGAGAAAGAGTTCCCAATAAAATGAGAACTACACCAGGAAGGGAGACTACTCGATGAGTATTTCAGTTATCAAATGTATAGTGTCAATCTCTGTGTAAGGCCTAGGGCCTGGTCATAGTACATTTTGTTCATTCTGAAGTACTAAGAGCCATATGAAAAACATTTTCAATAACAGATTTGACTTCCACTAGGTACATTTCCTAATGGGAACACCAAGTTAAACGACTCTTCAGTGGACACGACTGTCAGACCCTCAGCAGCCCAAGGCCGTCTTCCTCCTGTGTAGCGGTTCTGTAGAGGGTGCTTAGGAGCACATCTTGTAGAGTGCTTTGTCCTTGTTGTTGAAACTGTAGAAAGTGGATGTTTTTCATTAACACCAGTATTTGCAACATGAATCCCCACTCACAGCTGGAAAGAGAATTTTTGCTGAATTCTTCACAAAGAGAGCTCTGTTTGGGGAAAATCTGTTTCTTCAGACCTGGAACTTGAGGTTTGCTGAGTGTACATTAAATGTGCACTGCGTGGTCTAGTGGTCAGGGAGCTGGACTGCAGCAAGGAAGGCTCTTGGCCTTAAATCCCCATCAAGTCACCACTCTGCTGTGGGCCACTGGGGAAATTGCTTGAGTTCCTTTAAGTTTGGGGGGGTTTCAGCTGTAAATCTGGGCAGAATGACAACTGCCGGGCCAACCTGAAGCCACCTCTGAGCTATTCTCCCATTGAATAAACAGTTCACAGAATAGGTTCCTGCCTCAGTAAAGTACATGGTCAGAGCTCAGTGCCAAGTTGCTATTCTTCAAAGTATCTGATTTACTGCTGACCAGGTTAAAAGATGCACCACAGTCTTGAAGGAAGTCACAGTAGTACTTTCACTCAAGTTAAGGCCTTGCGTTGTAGATGGGGAACATTTAGACAAAAGGGTTCTGGTTATTTCTCTCAAATGCTGCTGACACTGATAAAAATGTTGGAGTTTTAGGAGAGCATTTTCTTTAAAAAAAATTGTAGAGTGGAGACTCAAAGCCCATCGGTAGGCAACTGGACACCCCCTCACTGAAAGGTTGAGAGGAGGAGACGAGCCAATTAGGGTGCAGGGTAGCCACGATGAAACATGTAACTTTCCTCTAGTTCTTAAATGCTTCCTCCCCGCCACTATCATGATCCCAATTCTACCTTACAAAACTGGCTAGACCAGAGGATGTACATTGGTACAGATAGCAACTGGAAACAGGGAATCCAGGACAGATGACTCCTTCAGGAGTGAAGGGAATGTGGGGTGG